TATCATCAATTTTAATAATTGAGACTATTGAGACATAATTGAGGGAATTGACTGTTGAGGAATTGACTATTGAGACATGTAATTGAGGGAATTGACTATTGAGGAATTGATTATTGAAACACATAATTGAGGGAATTGACAATTGAGGAATTGATTATTGAGAGATATAATTGAGGATTATTGAGACATGAATATAATTGATTTATATATATCTACATACATTTCGCTAATAAAGGACATTTGTATAATAAAGGCAGAATTATCACCTTGTACACCTAACGTGCGATATGATCAAGAATAGAAAGGTGCTGCGAATGTGGTCTGCATAAAGTCCGGCGTTACAAAAGGGAATACGTAATGATGCACTTAAAAGGGTGCGCAGGGTCAAAGGGAAGGTTAAATATATCAAACTACGACTACGTGCGAGAAATACGTACAGAGAATTACGGAATATTTCGAAATCTGACTTTAATCTTCGTACTGTCGACGCGATACCATTTCGATATCATGGGGAACGTTTGAATAATTATTTTCGGAAGATATACGTTCTTCTTTCTTTTTTTCTCCCTATCTTTTCTTTATCTTGAAAGTGCTCGTTCGGTAGCGGAAGGTGTTATAATTGAATAATTTATCAGCGTCCGTGATGAGAAACGATTAGCTAAACTTGGACGATACTTCCACCGGTTACCGAGGTGCCGCTTTCAAAGTGGAAGCTTAATACGAAACTTCACAGGATGAAGTTGCGAGCTGCACTTTTAAATTGCGCCGCGTAAAAGAGTTTATAATAAGGCGTATACCGGAGATTTACCGAAGGAAGAAGCACGAACTGTTGTCGATAGCGGAAGGTGCGGAGTTACGTTCATTAAATCATAAACGCGAAAATGGATAGTGCATATCAGGATCCGGGTTTAAAGTTTGACTCGCTACGGAGAAGAGTGAGATACAAGTAACGTAAAAAAAGAAGAAAGAGATGGATAGAAAGGGATGGTCTGGAAAGCGGTACTGAACGAAAATGAGAAAGGTGAATGATGTAAAGAGCGTGCGTGACTCTTTATTCCTGGGATATTTGCATTCATGAATCTCGTGATGCGGAAAAGCCGCAGACACATGCAGCATTCATCGTAATGCAGCGCGGATTACTAGTGTATAATGTGATTTCGCCATATCGGTTTTTTCTTATTGTGCCATCGCGGCATATATTGAACATCACGCAGCTCTGCAGTAAATATAAATACAACTGCATGTTTATATTTTTTTTAAGTGCAAATAAAGTTTCGCGAGTGTGTGTTTTCACATAGATATATTAGCAAAAATTATTGTATGTCAGCTTTGATCCTCTTAAATATTAAACTTTATCATACATCATTCTCTCTCTTTGAATCGTTTTTTAAATTTTTGTTCTTCTTTTATTCGTTTTTTTAAAATATATATTGTTTAAAATGTATATTTATATAGTGCGTAATGTAAAATAGTCGGTGTGAATGTTAGATAACATGAATGTTTAGAAAAACTCATAAAAATGTCTGTTATATCTCTGGCTTCCTATGTACAATAACGTGGCAGTGATCGATCAAGTTGAAAAATGCTAGGAACCACAGAAAACATATTTCGCTGAGCACTAGAATTTCGTGAAATTTTATGACCGGAAGTTAAGCTGATCCGACGAAGACAAAGTTCAGGGCTATTACCCTTGTCGTCAGAACGTGACTTGAATAAGAACATATGTAACCGAAAAAATGTATGATTTTCCGGATCATATGCTGGCTTTTCTCTTCGAAAAGATAAAAATTACACATATTTTTTTTTCATATATATGCAGATTATATTATATTATATTATAGTATCTTGAAAAAAATTAATATTATTTATTAATATTATTATTAATATTATAATTAATAAAACTTAATATTATTTTATTGCTGGTAAACAGAAGAAAAGAAATATATTTACGAATGTAAAATATTCGTAATTCGATCATATAATTTTGAGTCTCATAATAGCATTTTACTATAGCAAATATTTTTTCTATAATCAAACTTTTATATAATATTATCTTGCATAAATATGTTATGTTATACAATAATTACACATTACATTAAATTTTCCTTCTATTTTAAATAAATTTTTCTAAACTGAAATTATTTTGTCATTAAACATATATGATAAAACAAATTAATTTAGAAATGATAAGCGATATGGATATAAATTATAAAAAATAATCTGTAGGAAAAATTTATTTTATATTTGTCAAATTGAAGCATATATCTGTGTGGTGCCATCTCACGATCAAGATGATAAGTATTTTTCAGCTTATAATTAAGATAAGTTATCTTGATATTTAAAGTAAACATTTAATTTTGAAGCACATTCAATGTATAAAAAATAAAAAATATAAATATAAAATTAAACAAGTAAATATCTTTACAAATCTTCTTTTGCAAATAATAATATTATTTTAATAGAACGATTAATTGATAGAACACTTATATAACATAAATTATTTCTTTTCTGAAAAATATAATACCTAATATATATTATTTATTTAAATAATAGAAATAATAAATATAATGAAAAATATATATATTGTGTTTGTATACAAAAGACAAAAATTATTTAAACTTTTATTTGCAAAGATGACTAATTAAAAAATTCCATATTGTATATTTTGATTTATTATATTATTACATTTCATGCACCATATGTTTATACATACATGTATATATTTATCTGATCCACTGATGATCATTTTTATGTGTTACAATTTTGCTAAAAGTTATGCAATAGTAATTTCTCCAAGCTAATACAAGATACTAAGAAACAAATAAATAGGAAATTCATACCTGATATATAAGGAACAAAATTTGCACCAAGTATTTCTGAAATGTCACTTTGATATCACTCGCGACAACTCGCACAATCTGAAGCACTTTCGCAAAATATCGCTCTACGATCGAAAGTTTATCACGAGATATGTCGTATCGCGGCGCGGAAAGATTTTTTTGGCACGAAATCGAAATCGTTCAAAGTGTTTTTGATGTTGCGATGTCGCGCGTGCCATGGCGGTGCTGAACAGCTGTTCATCAACCGTGGGGATTGTTTGACAGGAAGAAGGGTTGATCGTCGTCCATCATTGCCATCTACCGCAGGGTGCTAGTAACTACTGTAGCCTTTATATCCTGGTTGTTTAACTTTCGCAGGAAATATCAATTTCTAACGTTTAATTTTTTAATTGTTAAATTTTATCTATTAATGCTAAATAATCCTGCTTTTTCATTATATTAATTATATTTATAATTGTAATACTTTGTAGGATTGTTTATATTTTTGCGTTATAAATTAGCTAATAATTTTACAAATCTATGTAATGTTTCTCTGGAAGGAACTATATATTGACGCGTGATGGTAAATTGTAGATTCACTTCCCATAAATGTAATATGTTTATCTAAACATGGTGATAAATGTTACTTAACTTTGAAGGCCACGATCTATCTGATAGAGCTATCCTTGCATATCATCACGTGCGATCAATACAATCAGGTACGCATAGAACATCATTCGTCATGCCTATTTAAATATGCGATTGAAAAAATGTAGAATAGAATATGTGCATATGAATATTCGTTCTCGCAAAAATGGATAGAATATTAGATATTTAAATTTAATATTTATATATAAAAAATTAATTAATCACAAAATCAATTATTTATATTCACATGGGAGATATATATCTTTAAATAATGAGCGTTTTCTTTTTAACTGTAACACATATTGTATTCTTGTGACACGCGTATATTTAATGTACTATATTCTAATGCAATTGTCGTAACTCATTTTCTATGCAACGCGATATTCTCTACCGCATTCTTTTAAACTGCCAGCATGAGATTATCGTGAAATTATAATTAGTTTTTTCTGCGCATCAAGATGTATAAATTTCTACGCAATACATATTCAGTATAAGTTGCCGATTCTTTTTCTTGCTAAATTTTATTTATCATGCTTAGACGAACATATATTATCGTACTAGATCGCGAAAATTTGTCCATTGATTAACTTTTCATAACTAATTAATTGATATAAAAAATATATAATTATGATATAAAAAATATTTTCACACAATTTTCTATCGCTTTAATATATTATCTAAATTTTGATGTAAATAGACTAAATTTCGTACTTTCCTTTACCAAAAGAACATCTTATATTATATTATTAAAACTTCACATCAACTTTAATATTAAAATCTTTTCTCTCTTGTGTGAAATATTTTCTATTATTTATTCTCATTTATTGTTGTACCTCGGATAGGGAAAATTGTGACTAATTACGGCCCTGTTTCTGTATACCGTTCTTCCATGTGGTTGTATTTACTCACGGAGAAGCGCCTGCACGTTCACACACCTGTACACATGCAGCAACGCGTAATATAAACGCACGACCTTGCGAGCGCAACAGGCGTCACTTCACAACTACAACTCTACAAACTAGAGACTACACAGACGAGTATATGACACATACGGCAGTCAAATAAATCCCCTATTTTAGCGGCAACGGTCACTTTTGTGACAGTACCGTAGTTGCAGATTCCTGATTGGTCTCCAAATTTCTCATAAAAATTAAGAAATTGAAATTAACTTGACGCTGGGTTAAAATTAACCATCTAATAAATTTAACAATTTATTAAATATTATTTATTAAATATATCGGGCAGAGTTATATTATAATTTTCATATACGTTTTATATGCAAAGAGGAATGATACAAAATATCTAAAAAAAGAAAAGAAATGATGTATATATATATGTGTATATATGTTAAAGGTATTAATAATTTAGATACATGAAAATTATTCATATTTCTTCAGCAAATCTTTCTTTACGTACACATGTTTATTCACGTATAATTCCCAACTGTAACGGTGCCCCTCGGAAAATTCCCTCAGACGTCTTGCCATCATCCATCACTGTAAGCTGGTCTCTTATAAAGGGAACCCACGCGAGAGCAGGCTGCATACCACGTCGACGCGTCGCGCGCAACCCAAGTCGACGATTGTCACGACGCTCCGGCAACGCTCGCACGCGCGCAATCGCCTGCGAAGCCATTCATGGGATCCCACAAGTTTCGTTGATGAGCGCGATGACGTAGTTGGTCTCGGTGCGTCGCGATACGCAGTGGATATTAACGCGTGCAAAGTGCGTGGTGCGGTGAAAGCTGTCGGCGAATTCCTCCTCGCGATCGATGATAGTGCGTGTTCGCGTTTCGATCGTTTTCGTGACCATGGGATCGAGCGTCTGACATCGTTGTCTATCGGCAGGAAGATCAGCGGGTGGATCTTTCGAGACGTCATCAGTCACGGACCCGTCAGGCGTGCATCCACGCCGACATCGCTTCTCGCCGGATAGCAACTGTCCTCTTCCTGCTTACTCGGGATCTCAATCTGCCGTTCTTGGGCTGCAGCAATTTACTCCGAAACGAGGATTATGGTACAAGTGTTGTTTCTTTACATCGAGTGCACCGATGCGATCCAAAGCGATTATTTACTTATGATTAATTCTGATATCACGACGTTGACGTGTTGCGTGTGAAACAAGCTACCTGATACAGAGTAATTAAAATTTTTCCTAGAAATCACACACGCCAAATTAGACGTGAATACTATAATAGATTATGTTTTCTATTATGTGCTTCTCTCTGCACTTATTTTGCAATAATTAAAAGGGCATTATACTGATGTTGCTATGCATGCATTTACCGTTATTTAAATTTTAACGTGCTGCAAAAAAAGTGTATTTTGAATGTCTAATGTTATTGAAAAGAAATTTCATTCGATTTATCCACGAAATAGCGCAAAAAATGTCCTAATAAAAAAATGGAAGTTGTCGTTATTTTGTGCTTTACTTCAGATGACACACCGAGCGTTAAAGTCTCTATTAAGGAGATGAGAGATGCAGGCGTCTATCGCATTTGGCACATTAATTCTCATTAATTAATAATAAGGTCGGCGTCGCTGTGATCTCGGTGATAAACATGATTTTCTTTGCTGTATTCCGTGGTCGTCGGAGCGGGTCGCGCGATCGCTCGAGATTAATCGACATGGTCACGACAAGGCGAGGTTTATTTTTTCTTCACGGGGAAAGTTCGATCGTTAGTTCGTTTCTTTGACGTTCTCTCGGACATCCTGTTTCTGCGTGATCGCGGTTTTATTGCATCGAGAACGAAAGGATCGTGCAGCTTATACCGCTGATAATCACCTGTTGTAGATGATAGAATTGCATTGCTTGATGAGAGAAAGCACACTGTTCACGACCGAGAAATTTTACGATCGAAAGATTGTCCACGTCAAGAGAATTATCCGGGAACAATATTTAATAACAATATTTTTCTAAACTTATTTCACTCGTAAGATGTATAATCGATATCAAAGTGATCGAGGCATTTTTTTCCAATAACTTCTAAGGAAACTTCTAAGGAATTATTCCCGTAAATCAAATCTGATAAGAATGTTTAATGAAACATTAGAGCATTTTAAAGTGAGATTATTATATTAATTTTCTGATTTTCCAGTAATCATAGTTACGATATATTTACTATGTAATAATAATAAAAATAGAGAATTCTTTTTAATGAATGAAAATTCTTGTCGCTGACTGTAGCAAATATATTTTGCGTCGAAAATTATATCTCTAGACGATCGAAAGCGGACATGGCGTCGCATTATACATGCGTGCATATTAATAGCACACCTTTAGTGCTCATTGCCGTAAAGTGCTCACGATAAAATTTTGCAGCGTGCACAGACGACGCTACCGAGTCCCCGTGATCAGCCGATCTAAACGATCTTATCTAAACGTTCATTTGCCGATAAGCTATAATTGGATTTTCGAGAGGACAATCACGAGACCATGGCGCTGGCCAAGCTCAGAAATTTCATCGACAATAATCTGAAGACGGTGTCCACGCCGTTGGATCGCACGGTAAATTTGGAGCCGGAGATCGGCATTAGGATCGTACACTCGCAGAACGATAAAACGCTCCACGTCACTGTTCTCGGTGCCAGACACTTGCCGCAGAACTTTGGCTTCACCAGAGTCAACAGCTACGTCGTAAAGGTAGAGTAAACCTCACTCGAGAATGTGGATCGATCAAACAAGAGGCGGTATACATTTCATCAACAGCTCACACATTCTCGCACGTTGTGTCAACTGAATCTATAAATTTGATATAGTAATTTTATTTTTCAATTTTATTTCGTACATATAATTGCTCGTGTATCTGTATAAATAAAACATAACGTTTTCGAAAAATACATCACTGCAAAAATATTAATCGATATCAACACTTTTACACTGCAAGATCGTGCTTCGTTTCGCTTCCCTCTGAATTACGTATAAGACGTCAAAGAAGCTGTTGGGTGTTATCTATGATTACGTAATACCACGAGAATATTGTATTATAGAAGTGCGACATTAACTGTAGTATTTCTAGTTCCTTCTGACATCGTTTCGCAAATAGAACGACATATAGAACATATCGTCTATCTATTGTATATATGTACATCTATGTTTCTTATATATACATACATAAAAAATCAATTAAACATTTTATCAATTAAATATATTTCTGGAATACGTGATATATATATATATATATATATATATATATAAGATCTATATATAAAGATCTATATATATATATATATATATAGATCTTTATATATAGATCTTTATATATATATTCAGAGTATAGGGAAGCGAAACGAAGCACGATCTTGCAGTGTAAAAGTGTTGATATCGATTAATATTTTTGCAGTGATGTATTTTTCGAAAACGTTATGTTTTATTTATACAGATACACGAGCAATTATATGTACGAAATAAAGATCTTTATATATAGATCTTTAATAAAATTCACTAATAACATCAATTGTTGGTCTCATTATTTACATCGCTGGGAGAAAATTGACTTACAAATAGAATGTAAAAGTAAAAATTAAATTTTAAAAAATGCTAAAATTAAATTTAAAAAATATATTTTTCATATTTTGAAGAATAATTTATTTTAACTAAGAAATAAATAAGAATGAAAATATATCTCTATTTTATTACATTCATGTTTGATTCGTATATACCTTTATCTTAAAAGTTGAGCAATTAAATCATAAACAATTAAAGCATAAGTTAAAATTCGCTGTCATCGAGAAGAAATAATTTCAAGATTTAATTTCTCTAGGTAAAGCTGATACCTGGCAAGGAGAAGTTCGAGACTACCACGAAAAATGAATCCTGGCCACAATGGAACGAGACATTCACTTTTCTTCTGCGTAAAGAAATTAAGCAAAAGTTTGGTAAATCGAAGGTCATCGAGGAGGAAATTAATGGATCTAGATTCATTGTTGCGACCCTCTACGCGATTCTCGAAGACAAACCGCTGATAGCGACTGAAAAGAAGGATTCGGATAAGGAAAAGACATCGCCTGCTAAGGGAGAATCGGCGAAGAAAGGCGGAAAGAAGAAGGAAGGTCAAGGCGGTTCTACCGAAAATCAGGAATCTACCAAGAACAAGCTCTTCAGTCAATTCTTTGGCAAAGGTACCGACAAGCTCGCGGAACCTACAGTTACGGAGAGAAGAGCCTACGACAAGAGACGAACCATTGGCGCGACAACGATTCCACTCGACTCGAAAAATTTTGTTTGCAAACCACCAAAATCGAAACATACCAGCGATGTATCTACAGGAGATCTGTGGAAACCGCTGCGACCAATCGCAAGTGGTATCTTAGGTGCCGAGGACAGAGTAGGTTTCTATAGTTTCATACAAATTGCACAGTCGCAAAAGCGAAATCATTACAATTATATTTAATATTTTTTTTTAAGAAAAATTATAACATCCTATTAATAAAAATGTGCATTTATTTTCTGGAAATATTAATATCTTTCTTCGAGAGATATGTTATTTACTATATTCTTTACATTTATTTAATTTTATTATACGAGTCAATATTATTTCAGAAGGAGAACAAAAAAGGACAAGTCGAATTATCATTATGTCTATCGAAAGGTGAGAAAGACGAAGATAGCGGTGGGCAACTGGTACTGTCTCTAAGTCGTCTGAGATGTTCGCTTCAGACGATGCACGAGCACGAGGGACTGAAAGGACAAATGTATCTGAAGATGTCGGTTGTCGATAATGGACGTGTAACGCACTTTTGGAAGAGCGATCGATTTGCGCCCACGGTATCCACGAAATTCTCACCGGAAACGGCAAGAGTCATCGCCGACAATCCGTACAAAGGAGCGCTCAATGACGTGAGCTTTGTTGTAAAGTTCGTCGCGAAGAATAAAATGGGTTAGTAAAACCAATGGGAATTCTAATTTGTCGTGATATAAATTATGCATGATTTATGTAAAATTATTTATGGTTTCATTATACAATTATTTATGTTTTAGGCAAGAAAACTCCCGTGGGTCACTTTGTACTGGGCCCTGACGTCGGTGGAGCTTACGGCGAACAATGGAAGCAAGCTCTAGCAAAACCAGGACAAGAGATAACGAAATGGCAAGCGTTTCAATAAAAATGAGGCGTACGAGTAATAACTTATTCAACAACGAAAAATCATTGCAGCCTTTGCATACTGCACCACGTACTTTCCTTATAGACGTCTAAAGACACCGCAATGAAAATAAGAGTGCTATATACGTGCATCATAAATATTTGAGATACTGATCGATAAAGCTATTCCAAAGAATACCATAGATACGTACTCGAATTCGAAGATTATTACGTGTGCATCTCTCTTGCTATGTATATTTATGTCCGAGATCTGTCGATTTTATACAAAAAAAAAACACGGTTTTTAAAGATGTAATTCTACATTTTTATCTTTATACACAAATTGCACAAATTCTTTGTCAATTTTAACCGTCCTCGACTCTGCAAAGGAGAGAACTGAATATTTTCTGCTCTGAATTTAATCACTATAACCGTCCGTAAACTAAGTAAAAATTATTGTCTTTTACACATACGTATAATTAAAAAAAAAATCATAATGTACAAGTACAACATATCATATTTTATAAGATTGCGAGAACATAAGCTCATCATATTGCATTAATATTAAGTAATATTTTTTATGAAAATAGTTTCAATTCAATAATAATTTTTTCGTGTTAAACTAACAATTTCTATAGAAATTAAGACAATCGAGAGGCACATTATAGTCGTCTGTAAAAATATTTTGAAAAATGATATGCTCTTTTAAAGTGACAAAATGGAAAATTTACTCTATTTTGCTCTATATTATATATACTCATGCTCTACATCATATATACTCATTTTTATTATCATTTGATTATAAAGGAAGAGAGTGAACAATATTTGGAGTTGGTGTATTAACAAAATTAAAAGCCATTTTAAAATGTGATAAATCGAAACATTTGTTTCACTAATTATTATGTACATTTGATAACAAAGTATTTAATATAAAACGACATAATAAAACGATGTAGTAAAAGACGTAGTAAATTTTGTAAAACATATCTCTCTCTTTCTATATATATATATCTCTTTACAAATGTTGAGTTTTAATTTAAGTTAATTTTAAAGAGTTAGTATTTATATCTTCAATAAATGTTACTCGACAAAACATACATGCACAACACATATTATTTCGCATATATGTTTCTTAAACATATATATTTTTTACTTCTTTATTATTTTTAAAAGCAAATATATCTTTATATAAATATACTTTATTATATGTTGTAAATATTTTATTGTATGTTATATATCAAGATAATTTTTTATTCATTCTCTATCGCGAATATAACAGATAAAATTTTTCAGATTTTATATTATTTTAATGATAATTTAAATTGTATTTTTAAATAATTTTGATGTTTTAAATAATTTTAAATGTTTACAATTTAACATAAGAGACTACTGAAGAAGAAAATAGTTAAGGAAATGTTAAAATGTTTATAACGTTAAACATAAGTATTACAAATATTTTTTCTATATTTTTTTATAATAATATTTTAATAAATAATATCTGTATTGTAATGGACACTAAAAACATATTATTTCATACATATGTCTATACTTTTTACTTGTTTATTATATGTAGAAGCAAAATATCTTCATATATATTTATAAATATACTTAATTATATATTATATGTCGAGACAAGTTTTTATTAATTTTCTATTATGTGAATCAAACAATAAATTAATTTTCTATCGTGAAAAAAATCATCGTTTTTCAGGTGTCATCTTCATTAAGGTAATATTTATTTTCTGATTCAAAAATTATTTTATTGTCTGCATTTCATACAATCATTTAACAATTTTACAATTGAACAATTTAACCATTTTAAAAAATTTTGATTGCAATATATCAAATTTTGATTCTAACTTATTAATATATTAAATTCGTATGAAGTATAACAGTATTATGTTATATATATGCCTTATTTATATCATATGGCAGTGTAAAAAATTACATATTATTAAAGAATTATGTACAAAAATAATAAAAAATAGCAAAATGCCATACTAACACTAAGTTATCGGTATAATTGATAATTAATGGACGGATAATTAATGGACGGTATTAGCTATTTATTATTGATCTATTATTGATCAATAATATCTAAGATTATATTATAATAGTAAACTATTTCAATATTAGTAAAATGTATAATTTGTACTCTAATACAGAAAAAGTTTTATTTGTAAGTTTTATTTGAAAAAGTGTTATTTAAATATATATTTTTATATATATGTAGTGATAAAGAGAAAAAAAAAATATATATATATTTCTATAAAATATGTAATTTATGTTGATAAAATATTATTTAAGCCAAGTTAAATGATTTACTGGAAGTTATTCTCTCTTATAAATATGTTTAAAAAATTTTCATTATCCCTTTATAGTAAGGCATACTGTAGGCACTTAATTTCTATCTTCCATAAAAAAATTATAAAATTACAACAATTGCAAAAAGCTAAATAAGCAGACCTATCAATATATTTAATTTTCTAAATTTGGCTTTTTTTGAAATTTGATGTGTAAAACAAGAGAAGTATTTAATAAGTACAAGTAAAATCTATCTTGAACTGTAAACATACTAAAATATTAATTATTCAGTAAAGTAGATCTGTCAAAAATCTATGGCTACATTTTTTTTTTAAATGACGAATATATATCGAACTGCTGTTATTAAACTAATTAACAAGAGCAACCAATTTTCATGTTGATATGGCGCCAAATTGCAACCATCTTTACTATTACATGTACAGTATTCCATAAATATATTATACGTTCCAGTTCTCATTAAACAAAATCGTTCATCACCTCCAATCCCGGGTTCACCCATAAAAGCGCAGCTACGAAAATATTTCCATTCACCATGAACTGTAAACATAAATTTATACAAAACTTAGGATGTAACAATATAATTGATGAGCTAGATTTATATTTCATATTTCTAGATGAATGACCTTTTTGTCGAATTTTGCGGCACATTGTCGGTCTTACACCCGGCAAATGGGTTAGACTCTTTGCTTCTGAACAATCTGTCATATGGTAAGTCTTATTGTCAAATGGATCCGTACATTTTGGATCATTGTCTGATCTGCAGTCGTAACATTTGATAGAAAGGCCTGAAAAACGCGACAAAATATTTCTAACTATATAAATAAATACTTTCCTTAATTATGTTATAAAGCCGTATTCATTTAAATGCAATCTAGTACGCATTTATTTCTGTAAAATAGAGGTTAGAAACGTATCTAATATAAAATTCTTATCAAAATTATTACGCAAAGCTCCGTAAAAATACCGATAAGTATATACATGTATAAAGTATTTACTTGTGTAGTCTCGAGCTTTTAAAAAAAAGGTTATTTGAAGGTTAATCTAAGAAGAATTAATTAGAACTTATAGAGGTAACTGGCTTAATATACCTTCTTGGATGCAGTAAATTAAAACAAACACTGTCACGAAAAAAGAAAGGCGAATTTCAACAGCCATTTCGGGAAAAACCTGAGATATGTATTTTCTTCTTGCTTCGTAAAAACTCACGATCGATTCAATGCCTCTAAACTGCAATAAACATTCTCTAAATATTCTGTGTCCACGCCTATAACCAACACAACTGATGCTGACCGCGCGATGTGTTGTCGCTCGATTTTATACCGGGTAGCCAAAATAATTCCAAAAAATTTTCTTTTTTGAAAGACCCTCAGACAATGATTCATAAGTTTATTATGACTTTCTCCAATATTGTAGATAATATCTATTGATAAATTATCGGAAGGCTGCCACTTATTGAAAGATTATTAGTATTTAAAAATATCAAATAATCAAATACAAATTACATTTTTATATTTTTAATATTGCAAATAAATATTAAAATAAACATTTTTCCTATTTACTATATAATAAATATGCTTTCTAGAATCATGTTATTTTGAAACCATTTTATATATGTACGTCGATAATTGTTTAATTATCACAATTACTTGCGTACTCTCATTCGCAGTCGCTTATAACGCGTGTCTTACAAGTAAGTGTAAGCTCTATAAATTCATATTTATTATCGATATTTTAACATCCTTGATAAATATTGTTTAAAAAATATTGACGGAAAAAACGTACTAGAATTTTATGAAAATTAAAATAGTTTCATATTGTTAGCTAATATAAGTAAGCTTTCTCGAGATTACATCTTTTTATACGTTACTGAAGACTTCGGGTATCCTCGGAATTACGTCACGCGTGACTCGAGTAACCGCGCCCCACCCTACATATGCAATATTTCTTGCTATAGTGTTACTAGTATATAACCGTATGCATACATATGCGTATTTGCCAGAGAGAAAAACGCAATTATTTTATATCGGTAAACCACATATGAAAAAAATGCAACGTAGGAAACGTGATACTGCATCTGCAAGTGATAACTGATATAAGAATAGGCTTCTCTAAATTAATTAACACATTTAAATAATAAAAGATTTGCATTATACATTCTGACAATACATAAAACAAAATTATTTTATCTAATATTCTATTAAAATTTTAATTTTTTATAATACATGCCAAATTTAAAATTAATCTAAACAAAATTGATCTAAAACAGGTACAAAATAAATATATGTATAAAAAATAGATATAATATATTATACATGTAGATACTAATATTAAAAAAGATTAAATTATAATTGATTGCAGTAACTTTCAGTTGACTGATTCTAATCATTCAGTAGTTGTTATCAGATGAACGGCGATCGTGTATCAGCGTGAAATACTCGTATAGTTCAATGCCCTTACGAGTATAAAAAAACAATATGCTTCTGAGAAGGGCTATTACAACGAAATATTGTTCAACGATTCAAAGCTCATTTGCGTGAAAGTATCTTATCTTCTCTCTCTTTAGAGACGCGATCGCGTACAGGAGTCTGGATCGTGAAACTCTGAATCGACTGGTATACGTCGATCGTCCCCCTTTTCCCTTCCTCCAGCATCCTCCAGCTATCTGTATCAGTCTGAAAGAAGGGGGCGATCTGGACCCCACGGATCTCGTAGCCCGCAGCGAGCGAGATCGGCTCGCTTTCGCGGGTGGTCCGACGACCGACGTGCGCGGCCCGAAAAACATTTGAATGCTATAAATAAATATAAATAAATTGATTTGCTGACATTAGCATATAAGTAGTAGCGAAGGGGGAAGACAGCGACTGCGAGCGAATCCCCTGTCCGTTATTCTCCCCCCGTCCCGTTCTCCTCTTGCGCGCGAGTCGTGCCGGCTGGACGTTGATTTATATCGGTGTCCCTTCGGTTCCTGCGGCATTCACTCGTCGACTTCTCTTCCCTTTAACTTAAAAGGGCACGGGACTATGGGATCCGGATACGCGCGCGGCCGTGCCGTCTTCTTCAGTCTCGAGCTCGTGGGAATTAATTCGAGAGTAGCGCTCTTTATATGTCGCTATGTGTGCTTTTATACGCCGTTCCATATTCGTATGGCACACGTTAAGTTCAATGCTATTTTTATTAAGCTATAATTATATTGTACACGTTATAGTTCGGGAATCCTAAGAACAAGTCGTTCTTTAATTTTCAGTAGACTAAAAGATAGAAATGCCTTTTTTTATTTATTTTCAGAGTAAAAGAGAATATGTAAACTCTCATGAAAAATTAATTATACTTGGGTAGATCCCATGAGACGTAATGAAAGTTAATAAGCACACGCGTTAAATATTTATTTTCCTAGAAATTCAAGATAGAATAACGTATTTTGCCGCATAATTAGAGAGATAAAATCATAATGACTTATTTATCGATTGCATATGAAAATTTCCTGCGTTTCAAAGCTTTCATTCATTCGAAATGACAATCAGCTGTTTATCTTTGATGCATAAGAATCGATACGCTAAGTGACAAAGATTAATGAGTATTTTGCGGCGAACTGTTCCTCAAGCAATTCTGCACAAATGTTTTAAGCTATATTTTTTCTTCGTTAACATATACCTTGCATTCTAGCGATTACAGTCTCTTGCAATTGTTAATACTCATTTTTCAGTTGATCGTGTCAGTCGTCGTTTCGATTACATCCGATAACCACGCTCGCTTCCTTCGAAGATGAGAATCACGCGACAACATTTGTTCTGGACCATCGTGTTCTCCTGCCTCGTTGAAACTCGAAGCTGCTTTTCCATGTTGACCAATCGTTCGGGCAAAGACTTCTTTGTGGATATCTTAAACAAAGTGCTGCAAACATCACGCGCGAAGGACGTTCTCCTCGTACTTCGAAACTCTTTATTAGACGGGCAGGCGGGCGACATTCTCGATAAAATACTCGCGGCGACAAGTCGACGCGTACCGACTCTTTACGTAAACGCGGATCAGACGGAACCGTCTCGAGTTTCTTCCTGCGGAATGTCACGCGATCTAGTCGTGTATATCTACGTCTCGGAGCGAGAGCCGGATATCGTCGAGGGCGAGCTCGTTGCCGAAGACATGAACCGCCTCATTCACGATCGCGTTCGGCCCAAGGTACTTGTACTGATGATACTTCGTCGACCGTGTCGCAATCTCATAACGCTCTTCCGAGCGATGTGGTCGAGGAATATTCTCGATGCGATTGTTGTGGAGTATTCCGGAGTATCGGAGTACTCCACGATCGTTCATCGATACAACCCATTCACCGACAGTCAGAACGACGAACCGTATTCCGTAGATACCGTGTGGTTCACGGAAGACTTTCCAAACATGCACGGTTATCCATTGGTTTATGCCTTTACTCGTCGGCTTCCTTATAGCGACATTGCGTCAGCCACGGAACAAAAGTTAAAAGGCGTAGATATATCCATCATCAATAGCCTGGCGAATAAAATGAATTTCACCGGTATTCCCAAGATAATAACAGAACAGGATAAATACTTTAGAACGATGTCTAATGGAACTCCGTTTGGTATCTTCATCGATGTAGGATCTAAAAAATACGACGCCCTTTTGGTTACGCTGCCGATGTGGGGAAATGTGTACCCAGATACACCACCCGCTATACAATATACTTATCCTTTCTTCCATGAGAATTGGTGCTTCGTGGTACCCAGGCTGCTTGCCAAGCAAAATTTCACGAGCATTGGATTCCGATTGCTCGTCCTGAATTCTTCGATCGTAGGAATCTTCTGGTTGTGCTCACGATTAATGAAGTTCAATCCAAGTGAATGGCATCTCCTGAAAATCATCGGTATCATGCTGGGTGTATCATTTCCAGCGGTATCCACAAAATTACACGAGCAAATCATCCTTCTCAGCATTTTCGTTGTCTACGCATGCTACTCCTCGACTCTTTTCGTCGAACTGACGAGCATCAGTTTCAAGAGCAATCTTTATGTTGAATATGATCATTTACAAGATCTAATAAATTCCGATTTCGCATTAATGATGGACGAAAATATAAAGACAATTATCATGCAATTTAACGGTGCCTTTTTGCATGAAGTTTACAAATCAAGCAAGAAAATCACAACCTTTATTCACAAAGATCTTTGCCTTAAGGATTTGCTGATGTACCGGAATGCTACTTGCTTTATGCAGGATAACTGGGCCCAAATGCTTGAAGTCAATAATATGCAGGATGATGTGAGTCTGCTGCAGACGACAAAACTCTGTTATCTGTCACCACCGGTCGGTTATATCTTCCAGGAAGGATCTCCTTATATCAAACGTGTCAGTGACTTATTCCTAACGCTCGCAGAAGGAGGTTTATGCCATAAATGGTTTCACGAGTTTCTATGGAATGAGACGAGAGAGTCAATTATTCAAACAAATCGAGACCAAACGAATTCTATGTGCGTCAACGTGTATTATTCAATGATTTATGTATTGATAATGGGGTACTCGATCTCTGCTCTCATTTTCATCAGCGAACTAATTTGGAAACAATTTAACATCAACTTGAGTTTCGATAATATATGTCATTTATTAAACTTGAAGAAGAATAAATAAAAATGGACTACGATATTAAGGCGAATTGCAAGTTGTTAAGAAAATTGTCGCTACTTTAATAATCAGGAATGGATATTAATTAGCATTATGATATACGAACTTGAAAAATTGATTCCCTCGAGGTGGCATTATCGAATAGATGAACATTGCTGTGAAATTTATGATATATCGCAATACCAGTAGCGATAATAACGCATACTTTAATCGCGTCTCGTGCTTTGCGGAACACAGTTAATCTTCGTTATTGCGCGCACGTCGTGTCCTCGACGTGTAATCGTTATATACGGCGCGAGATGGACGCGAGCAATTTTAATCAATGTAACAGTTTCCTCAAACGAGTGGAACGCCTCCGATCTGCGAGCGTATCGTTTATATGAGTCAGTCTCGCTTAGGTCGAAGGACGGCCCTCGTTTCGGGAACGAAATCACCGGCCTGAAGAGCGGCCATGCTTCATGCTTATTTTTTCCTCAAAAACGGTCAATTTCGTATAATCTTCTTGCGAGAGCGGGGCGTGGTTGGACCACAGGGATATTCTGGTAGGCAACGTGTGTCATTAACCGAATCCTTCAAGCGACCCTGATCGGTCTCTGCTTCCCTCCCTCATCCCTCTCTCTTTCTCTTTTTTCGGAATTGAATGAATAAAATTTAAAATGATGAAGACATGATATATTCAAATCTCAAACTGTAAATACATAATAAAAATGTTTGACACCTTGTCGCAATATTTAAAAGACTCCGACAATCAAGAAATTTCTTTAGATGGCTCGATTAATGTAACGATTAATACTGGACATCTCGAACAGATCATTAAGTACAGTTACTTCTAGCATCGCGGCAAATACTTTGAGATTTCTCACACATCTTTCATTGTCATTTCGCGCTAGATGCGCGTACGAGTGACCTAAATGTTCATAAGCGCTAAAGATAATGTCACATGATGAAATAAATGCTTATTATTAAAGACGGCTCGAAACATCTCACAATTTTCTCATGAAAAATCCCTTCCATGCAAAAGTGCATCAATAATGCATAACTATATATTTTAAAGTTTTAAAAAATTGTTAAATATCTCCGTTGATGCGATTTGACACGAGAACGTAAGAAGGATAATGACACTTTAATATAGCGTTAATTAATTAAAAATCTATTAAAGATACTTGATGTTATCGCGGTAAAACCAGTCGATTATTGGAGCAACACGCGCTCCCCTGTTTGCCGAACAAATGTCGATACGTATTCATCTTCGCGCGTGATCGACCGTAAACGCATCTTGAAGAAGTAGAGATGGAGATACCTTCCGCCTTCATTCCACCTTTGGTCGGCGGTATCACCCTCCACTTCCGCCTAGCTTAGCAGCCACTCCTCTCAGCAGCCTCCGTTGATACTTCCTCTCGCGCGCGTGTATCTCGTCAGTCGGCCTGAAGCCACGTGCTGTGTTCGCTCGAGTAGCTCCCGCGTGAACGACACTGGACATCGGACAGTGTCATTTAGTATTGACGGATCATCCTAGCCTAACATTACTTCCGATGACAGATAAAAATCTCCACGTGAAATTACTAGTGCAAGAAGACAATTACATTTCATGATCCATATTCGTTTTTTATTTAATCATCGACAAGTAGATCGATGCGCAGTCTGATTTTAAAGAAAGTTGCATTTATAGTGAATTATAAAAAAAATAGTTTATGACACATGCGATATGAGAAAGATGATTAGAATGGATAGTTAGATAAATGGAATAGAACAATAAGTAAAGAATTTGGAAAGGTTGAAAATTGATAATTTTCTTGTGTTTCATAAGATGCTATGTAATGTAATCCTAAAATATCAAATTTCATCTTATCGAATAAACATGATAAGATATTGACAGTTGCAATCTAGAATACTTGTGTAAGATGAAGTATATCGATGGTGTCTGGTGGCTCGCGTAATACTAGTGCACGATGCCGACTCAAAGAAAGATCGAAATATCTCGCGGCATCATCGATCAAGCTTATCGGAAAGCGGCACGATTCGCCGCCAATCCTGGCGTATGAGAGAGAGTGCTTCGAGGAAGAACAAAGATATCGTTGCGAGCTCTAGGTAGCTCTCAAAGGTGAAGACAGACGTCGGCTGTGGAAGACGTCGGGAGAACTAAAAATATCAGCCGGTTCCGCGGTTGGTCGGCGACGTGCCCCGCCACGTCGTGTACTTCACAATTTTACCGCCTGGAAAAGATGAGAGTGATATCTCTTCGTGTGCGGGGTGAAAACAGGGTTCGCCTTTAATAAGACTCGCGGACGATTCGCGGCGAACTATCAAGCACGCTCGTCGTTACCGCAAAGAGCGGAGAGTTGACAGACATTCACGAGAGACGCGACCGTGTCGCGATTTCGCGCGTGATCCACGAATACTCCGTTGTCTTCGTCTATTTCTTCAGCTACTACTATTCTCCCTCTCTCATCATCTACTACTGCTATAAACACATACCACGTCGAAGATCGCAGTATTGATGACTGGAATGCTAAAATAGAAGCTATCAGCCTTTTCGCCGCATCTCGAGGGTCTGGGATATCGAAGAGCTTGATGCGCCGAAAAATTTCGGGCTATTTATTCTTTCAGATACGTTGAAATACACCAGGGTAAGATTTCGCTTGTTGATGCACGTTATTTAGGGAACCTGAGCACATAGCAGCGGAGGCTCGCGTTCTCCAGGAGCGAGAGACGTCAAGTGATCTTTTGATCTTGTAACGATTTGCACGCGAGAATGAGACGTTAAACAGTCTCGTCGGAAATAAAGTAACTAAAATGCATGAAGCGTATATTCTTTTTTCTTACGCTCTTTCTTAGCCGGTCGGTTTCAACTGGCAGGAGGAAATGTAAACTATGCTGCGTTATAATAGAAATCTTTCCTGCACATGTAAGATACACGAAATGCTTCAACCATTACAGAAATTTTACTTATCATTAAATTACATATCGTTTTTCATTCTCATACAAATAGAAGCTCTTCAAATAATATTATTTTATATATCTTTCTACATTATACATCTACTCCAACAAGATACCCTCTTCTAATCTTAATATGATTGCGCCATTAGGTTGCTTAAAAAGAAGACCCGGTATCGGATTTCGTCACGACGTCCGAACTTAGGACGCAGGGTCAAGGCCGAGAGCTACCTCGAGACGGATTCGACGGAGGAGGCCGTCGAAGCTCCCCGAGTCTCTCCCGGGGACTCTGTCATCGACGGTATTTTACCGGCGCGGTTGTTTGAAATTCTTCGCGCGGAGTCGTGCCCGTATTTATAGATCTGCGGCGCGTAGGGTCGCGCGTTTACACACGCAGCTCCTTCCTCCCGAAGGTGGAAAAATAAGTAAGTAGGTACGTGGAACAGCCGGCAAACCGAGTCGCGTCGGGCCCGCGTCCGTAAAGCGCGATCATGACGCGATGCGTCCGCGACAAGAGCACCACCGGCCCGTCTCGACGAGCGCGTCCCCGTCGCCGTCGAACTGTCTGCGCTGGTCGCCCCGCTGGCTGCGATCCACCGAACCACTACTTCCGGGCATGATCGCCGGCGCCGTGATCCTCCGCGTCCTCGTGGTCCTACTTGTCGTTGCCTACGCGGTTGCCGCCGACGGTCTGGTGAGTATTTTGTTTTATATACATCCACGATATATCAATCAAAAATATTGCAAAATATCTCTAATTCTTTAAAATATTGCAAGTTTTGTTCCCGAAAAATTTTTGCTTCAGTTAAAAAATATATTGTATGAATTCAGTTAAATAAAATTGTATGAATTAGGAATATATTCTTTTTTCACTACCGTTAAAAAAAGAAAATTGGAAAGTATAAATAAATTCAGTTGCAATATTTTTTATTGATGCTGTCGATTTATTTTTATATATCTTGCTATAACATTTATATATTTTATCATCAATAATACTCTGGAAATATAGAAAATTAAAACCATATTTAAATTTATTACAATTAAATTATTGCAGTAAAGAATCATAGATTAAAATATTGTATGTAAAAAAGAGAGAAAAAATTATCCATATATATTTTTAAAAAATATGAGATCTAATGTAATGCAGTTTTTGCGGAACTAAAACTTCATTATAAATTTAAAATCGATTATTTATCGGATGAATTACACGAATATATCTTTATGAAAGTTAGAAGCTGCGCGCAAAATTGCATCGTTAGCTGAAAAGGTTCTGGGACTACTAACTGCAGCATGGTAGACAATAGTTTTCACGACTGCGATGTATTTAGCCTCTGAGACTGTAGAAATATCGACTTCGCATCGTATTACGAGAAGGGAAGACTTTCCTGACCGATCGAATATTGATCGTAAAATCGTTTAGCCAGGGAAAACGGGGTATTATACGTATCTTGTATCCAGCTAATGCACTATAATTTTGGATATTTATCGAGTACATGTTTACTTAATTGCCAGTCGAATTTATATAATATCTAGCATTCAGTTAATATATATTATAATTTAAAAAATCACGTGTAATTTCACATTTCTAAATTTGATATAAAATAAATTAATATTGACTCGAATAATATAAATTTGCGAGATTAATTAAAAGTTATCAATTAAAATTCCTGTTACATATACCATGTACTTTGTAACTTTATTTCTGTACATTCTCATTAATTATTCTCTTAGGCTTGCTTAATAATAAAATGCTTCGAACAAGTGTGTAAATAAATACTTCTAAATTTATCGAACGCAACTAAAGTAAAATATTTTAAAAATGATTTTGCATAATTGCTACAATAGCTAATATACTGATATGTACGTAAAGAGAATATTGAGCTCATCACATACTATAAACATATTTTTTTTCATGTAATGCAATTTATCAAAGATAGATTAGTAATTAGATGGATTAAGGAAGAGAGACGGAAAGGTTCAAGAGGCCTAAAACAACCGATAAAGCATCGTGTCAGCAGGAACCTAGCAATACTAACGCAATTACCGACCAAAGCGGAGAAACCTCGTTTTAGCTAAGCACGTCGGGATAATTACTGTAATTTTGTTTCGTGACCATTCTTAGACTGCAATAATCATTTACAATTTCGAGGTTAATGTGCCGACACGTAAACTAGTTCTATTGCTAACAAGGCTGGTAATAACATTGCTCGAAATATTCATCTTGCAATAAAAGCTATGATTGAAAAGGAAGTGCGTTAAGATACGGGAATCAACGAAGTATTTATATTCTGCAAAACACTAGGTTCCGTTAGCAAGAGAGGCAGAAACACAGACGCGTTGAAAATTATATGAACTTTGCGTGGGATGTGTGTGAACGTTACTTGAACAAACAACATGTTATACTAGAAAAGAACGCGGAAATATAAACTTCTAGACAATACTCAAACAATAAATAATTATTCTTATGCAATGTAAAATATGCATCAATTTGTTACATTTTTACAAGTATTTTTATTTTCTTCTTTTCCTTTTTTTGACAAGTTCAAGCATGAGTCACGCGTTGATGTCTCTCAAGATAATGACATCTAAAATTTTGCATCGCGACAATCGTACTCTTTATCGTCGGTGATTTTTTTATCGAAATTCAATGATACATGCTTGAATGCAATCTCCGCAATAAAATCCTCGTCAGCTGTAGTAACACGGGTGATATTTGCCTGAATGAATGCCATCTCCGATTCCTTCGACTTGCTGATGTTACTGTGCATGAATATTTCATAATCGGGCATTTGTAAAATCGTTGCTCATTCGGGTTATCGGGTCATCAAACACAATCGTTTTGTCAATTGTGCCGAATAATCCGCCAGCTAGCTTGTCGAGAAAAATTTACAAAAAAAAGATAAAAGGACTTTTTGTATACACACGAACAATAGAGGAAGATAAGCGCTTATCTAAATCTCCTTTTGCTTATCCAACAGTGCGTATCGTCGGGTTAACAAGCTAATTTATAACACAACGTCAAGACGTTACACCCCGTAGATATTGGAAGAGCAGTACTTTCACGTCTCGGTTAACGTTATCTTGTCGACTGTAAATTTGGGTTTGTTAAAAATAATCGAATAACGGATATTCATTTCTTTAATTTTTATACGATGGCGCGATGTTAGGAATGCAGACATGTATTTTTCAAGCAGTTTCTGCATTTTCTTTTAGCGTTTTACCAAGCGAGGATTCCTTTATTACTATATCGATTAGAGCTGATGCTTGCGAATTAAGTAGGAAGTCCCGAGGAGATTTAATTATGTCGTCCTTTCAAATCGTTTATTAACATCTTGATAAATGGAATACTCTTTTCAAATACCGTTATTCAGTGTACGCTCCTTCTTCAGATTAATATGTGTAAATAACGCCAGCAGTGTGTTTTAAATATACATCTTCGATGAAGATATTTTATGGTTAATCAATTCAACGTAAAGAATTTTTGCGAATATTAAAAATCTTAAGAATGTTTTATTAATATAATGTTTATATTATTATACATATTTTTTCACTGAATATTTTATGGAAAAAAATTTGTCATTGGAAGAAATTTTATCTTTTTTACTCGATGTCACTTAATCAATGTATGTAATAATTCTTACTTTCTATTGAGAACAACATGACTTCACCTATACATCCTAGCTCTTTTGATCGAGCTCTAAAGTCGAAGAAGCATCTTTCGCATCCCAGAAAATATAATCAATCGCGTTGTCGATCTTCCAATTAGCAGTCACCTCTCCGTCAGCTTTGTAACGAGTGTGGTCGGATATTCGCAAAGGAGATGTTGCATCAATCTCTCGCTAAACATCTCTCGACTTTCTAATCGTGTAGGTATCACTCGTCGACGCTTGACCTCGACCGTGTTACCACGGGCAACCCGCAGTGAAACTTCCTGTCCTTATCCTCGGAGATGCTCATGCACTCCATTAGAACATCGAAAGACTCTATTGAAACATTCCAGCAGCTGTTTCCACTTTCCCGAAGAGACAACCTTCGCCGAACATTATCGCGAACTTTGACACTGGGATGAAGAAAGCTCATTGATTCATGAATAGTTTCTCCGCTGTCACATGTGAAAATTGTTTTTCTGCCGAGGAAATATTAGCTCGCAATCGTGCATGAAATATTGTCACGTTTTTGCGTTTAGCATCGAGAACGTTCATTTATTACTTAAATTGGCAAATAGAAAATTAATATGGAATTTTATTATCATCAGAACAAAACTGCAGTCTTATTAATGACTTTTTATTATCTATTTTTTTATTTTTTATTAATGATTATTGTACTATTTCTTTATGTATTCTAAATTTGTAAAATTGCAGCTGATTCACACCGGCTTACTTGTTAAATTTGCGTTCGATAATAAATTGCTATTTTTTGACAACAATGAATATCTTGAATATCATATTCCTATCATATTCCAAGACATGTTTTAGCCAAAAGAAAAAGTTTATGCGCTGCAAGCGCAATCTTAAATCGTCTAATAGCTGAAGAAACCGGCCCTTCTTTCGCTTTATTAAACTATGCAAAAAATGTCCTGGTATCACGTACTTTTCACCAGCGTAAGAACAACCATGAAAGACTGGAACGTCTCGTTGGCACCCCGTGGAGAATCCTCTCCCGCGGGAATCTCCGTATCACCCGGCAGCTTCTTCTGGTGAATCCAGCTCGATTAGCTTCTTATTGCGTATCGTGACGACTATCGCGTGGAATTTCAGCCCGTTGTCGGGCAGGAAGTATGTGAGTCTCGCGGCTGATAAAAAGTTGTCGTCGTCAGGGAAAGAAACGAGGCACCACGCGGGACTCCGACGAGGATAAGAGGAGAAGAGGTGTAAGAGGCCCCGAGAGAGGACGAAGAGAACATAAGGAAAGACGAAGAGAATGTCGCATACGATGTCCCTTCAGCAACGTCCAGAGACTTGCAACCGCGTTTGAGATCACGTTCGTCTCCCTCTTCTTCCCGTAAAATCTGTTGGGGCTCGTTTCTACCGACGTTTCTCTTCCCCGTCTCACCCACTCCCGTTTGCTTGGCCGCCTCTACTCATCTTCCTCGTGGTTTCTTTATCTTTAGATGTTTCACGTCGCCTGTGCCAAGACTCGGCGATTCCATTGTCTCGTCGTCGATGTACACGGGAAAAGCGATCACGATACCGACGGAAGAAATGATTAGAATTCTATGATCAGCCGGGAGTTCAATGCATGATTGTTGAAGTCTCCGGTGTTCCATACATACTACTCATGACACGAATTACTGTCTCACGTTTGATTCATCGATAAGAGACGCATGACTTGCTTAAGCAAAGTTGTATTGCACGTGCGTTTGTTCAAATGGTATTCGTGCGTCTGTCAAAGAATAAAGTTCAAAGAACAGGAAATTTTTAAACCTTCAATGTTTTAAATTAAAATCATTCAGACAGGCATAGAGAGCTGGAGATCATTATTAGTCGCGAATTATACGGATTAAATAGTAGTAAACATTAATAGGTTGAAAATTCAGTTTTAATAATACATAGATGTTTAGACAATTTAAGAGCGGACGTTTCGACTTATATTTAAGTCATCTTCAGCGCATGTTAATTCTCGGAAAGTAAGCAAACGCTATACGCAGTAAACATATTTAATGAATTTTAATTCGCAGTAAAACGGTAGGGAGAT